AGTGAACGAAATAAGCTGGACTAAAAGAATCCATGTTGATGCTCTGACTAGATTGTATTGCAGCTAGAGAGATTATATCTTTGTTTGTCAAAGCAAGCAAGATAAAATTGCTAACCATTATTAACTATTGGCAAGATCATTGTCAAAAGGCAGGTGCACAGCTCTCCCACAAAGCTACCAGGACCTTTGTAATTAGGAAAGACTAACAAGAAGTGTATTAACTAGCACATAAATATAAAAAGATGGGTATGCATTTAGATGACAGCTTCCAGTTCCTAGTTGATCAAGATGAAGTCAATTTCAAAGTTGTACAGCAGTTGAACTCTGTCTTTGGAAATGACTTAAAGTGTCTAGAAAAGGCAAGTGGCTTGGTCAAAGAGCTGACCAGGACAAAAGAAGAACTGGAGAAAAGGGTAAGTCTTAGTAAGTCCTTGTCGGTTTTGTGGAATTAATATGTTCTTTAAAGAAAGAAGAAATAGATCATTATTTTCTAATGTATGCTCAGAATTTAATGCAAACTTGATTTTCAGTTGCGCTTTGCAACAACTGAAGCACCAGACAAGATCACAAAGGCTGTGAAAGCTGCTGATGAAGCACTGAAGAAGAAGGAGAAGATGGTAAAGGAATGTGATCAACTGAAATTAAAGGTATTAAAGATGCTACTTTAAGAATTGTTAAATGATTATTATATTTTCATATTTTTATTATTATCATTAACGTGAACATGAACATGAACATGAACATGAACTTCAGCATTTGTATTAATACTATTTATAGAGTTATTGTTGTTATTCATACTAATGTTATTATTATTATTGTTGTTATTGTTGATTTATTATTATTATTATTGGTATTAGTGTTATAAGGATAATGATAATGACAATGATGATCATCATAATCATCATTTTTTAATTGTCTTATTTATACTCCTTTATTTTATTTTTTTATTTAGCACATTTTACTTGTCAATTAATTAATTAATTCATTCATTTATTAGTTCTTCAGAGAATTATGGAGGGATGTCACATACTTTTTGTATACCTAGGTGTAAGATTTTTATTAGGGTATATTAGTAGAGAGACAGACAGACAGACAGACAGACAGACAGACAGACAGACAGACAGACAGACAGACAGACAGACAGACAGACAGACAGACAGACAGACAGAGAGACAGAGAGACAGAGAGTAAGTGTGTTTGTGTGTGTGGTATATATATCCACATACATACGAATACATATATATATTATTCTTCAGGTTGCACAGCATAATAAAAAAGTTGGGAAACTTCTAGAAGAAATAGGACCAGGAGTTCGCAAAGTACGAGAACTAGAACGTGTTCAGGTGTACCAGCAGTTTGTAAATGCAGTAGATGAACAAAGGTAAGAGGAATGATTAGAGATCTCAGTCTGCTGCTTTTAGAAGGGGGGGGTAACCTCTGGTTTCTTGTCACATGTTCTACAAAAGAACATAGAATTTGTACATTATTATGACTAAACTATACAGTATACAGATTTTACTCATCTTGATTTCATTGGATTTACAGCTCTAGTCACTTGTCTGGTTTTGTTGTAGGAAATTTCAGTGTTATATATTTGTTACTCAGCTGTAAGTACAGCTGTACAGAAAATTATTTTTAGAAAATCATTCTAAACATTCTGACAGAAGCAACGATGCTTTTTGAAATATAGTTGTTAACATTACTCAGTACTCAATTACTTCTGAATCTGTGGCTTATCTGATTATTGCAAGGCATATTCCATCCCTTAGGGGAATAAAATCATCATCTCACAGTGATTCCATATGGATTCCGGAACAACTATTTGAGACATAAATCAGAATGAGAGGAATTTGAAATCCAAAATACCAACCCTTCTGTAACACAAGGTTCTGTTCAATACTGTATGTTTCGACACCCCTCCTAATGATAGTTTTCTGTGTAGCTGTACATGCAAAATCCATTCGCATCAACTTGTCTGGAACAAGTTAGACCTCAGGTGTACAGCGAAATGGGATTGACATTAACTGTATGCATTGTTTGTCATATGTAACTATTGTTAAGCAAACATTTATATTTGCATTTTGTTTTCAGTAAAGAGATAGAAACCTCATTACATATAGGGGCGGAAGGTCAGGCTCTGCTTGGTTATAGTCGACTGAGAGATAAAGCCAAGCTGATTCAAGAATCCAATTGTTCGAATCTTGTTGCCTTTGTCACCAACACCCTTCTCCATTGGCATCAAGTTTTCACTCAGAGGTTTACAAGGTAAACAATTCCCATTGATATTTTTTGGTTCATTTTGAGGCAAGTAAAATTCTTTTGAAATTATTTGGTTATTATGGGAAAGGAATGGTTATAATGTGAACATAGTATTAGTAGATAGATAGATAAAAGTTATAGTAGAGGTAGTAAAGGTAAGATATTTGTATATATCTGTTTTCATATAAATATATATCTTTTTCCAGTGAATTTGAGGATGTATTGAAGGTAATCAAATGGCCTTTTACAACTTCCAACACTACTGTGCATCAGACTCCAGCCTCACCAGAGTCCATTCAGAGACTTTGTACCCTCACTCAGTATCTTCTACAAATTACTCTCCCAGGTAATCATATCTGTTTATTCTACATGCCTCTAGAGAAATACAGTTTTCAGGTCGGGGCAAAGCTCTTAGGGGTATTATTTTAAGAAGTGAACATATCTGAGTCTGTATTTATTTTTAGACTACTCAAAATCATATCCTCCCCCTTTGATGAAACTAAGATGTTACAGATCATGTAGGGATGTTTTTCATTTGTGACTTAATAATAGACAACAAATATGTTTTAACTCTTTTTGTGAACTGTTGTATTGTAATTTTAATTATTTTACGTCTGTAAACAAACTTGAGTGATGCATTATCAGAGTGTATGGTGTGAGAGTGCATTGCTGTTTTCTTTTCATGGGCGAAATACTTAAAGCTGAAAATAATTTTTTTTTAATTGCAGATGATATAGCTAAAGAAAATGCCAGGCAGCGTGACTTGTCCATTATGTCACCTGCTGTGGTAGCAGATTTTGAACCTCCATTGTTGCCTATACAGCTACTTGTGAAACCACTGGAGGTGAGGATTTGAGCTTTCTTTGGCAGGCATTTTGTACATGTTTGAAAATAAGTTTTCCTTATAGAGGCCTAGGTGAAATTGCATTTTGTTTTGTTCCAGACATACAAATGTAAATGATTCCAGTCTGACATTCTTTTTCTATGGCAATATGCTGTAGCTTTTATGGATTTTATAATTGACTTTTAGTTGCAGTATCATATAGAAACCCCCTAACATTTTTTACTCCTATAGGTGCGCTTTTTCTACCACTTCAGTGGAAATAAAGTCACAAACAGCAGAGAAAATCCTGAATGGTACTTTACACAAGTTCTAAAGTGGATTTCTGCCCATGAAAGCTTCCTAAACTCAAGAATTCAACAAGTTCTCAATAGATATGGATACCAGAATACTTCTGCTAAGGTAAGAGGTGTCAATGTTCTCAATAATGTAAATATCCCAGTAAAAATGACTTTGAAACTGATATTGTGTAAAGAATTTGTAATAAAGTTTGTGAAATTTTAATAAAAAAAAAATAGAGTAAGGATTGTAGAACTATTATAAGCCATGTGCTATGTGGATGTAATTTGGTGTAAATACATTTTCATTTGCTTTTTCACATGCAGGTGGAGTTCATGAGAGGTTTGGTGCGTCTTTTGGTCCTTAAGTTAGCGTCTGATCTTCCTGAAGTTCAGTATGATGATGATCTCTTCTGCAGTACTGTTCAGGAGACTCTCAACTTTGAACGTGAAATAAGTGTGACGTATTATTATCCTGCTTCCCAGCCTTCTGTTCTGTCAGTACTCACACAGGCCCAAAACTTTGCTCGTTGGATACACATCGAGAGGAAATGTACGTAATAAGGATTTGGTAGTAAAATTGATTGTTTATTTTGATCCTTTTTTTTCTTTCTTTCTTTTTTGTAAGCGTAACAGAATGAGATGTAAAATATTTATATTATATATAAGATTGTAGATTACATGGAGCTTACTTTTAATGATGATATTAGCTCAGCTACTTTACACTTTTGCAGTTGCTCTAGAGTTGATGGATGAGTTTGTGTCTGATGATGGTGCGTGGCTTGCAATGGAGGGTGGTGAAGCAGCGCACTGTGGAGAGCAGCTCATCCTCCTTGTACAGGGCATTACTGATCGCTATAAGAGACTTCCTCAGCCGGGACATAGGTATGAAATACCTAGCCTTATGAATGTAGTTGCTTCTTATTGCATCATATATGTAGGTAATGGCTTTTGATGTATATATACCTTATTCAGTGATTTTGTAAATATTATATGTATATAATTAATGGATTTTGGTGTAAATGTACTTCATTCCATATGTCTTTTAATCATCAAACTTTCTTTGGATTTGATATAAGGAACAATGAATGATGTATTTATTAATTAAAAGTATTTTCTAGGTTACAGTTTCTGGAGCTGCAACTTGAGCTTCTGGATGATTTTCGAGTGCGAGTGTTACAGGTGATGAAGAGTGAGCGACAAGATCCTTTAAACTCGCACTACCCAGCCATTCTCAACACTGTGCATCATATTGCTGCAACTCTCACTGACTGGGCCGATCTTCCGGTAAGATGAATTTTATGGAGATTGAGTGCGGTTCAGGTTGGGTTCTATGTCTTGCAGTATGATTACGATGTTCTAGTTTGGTTGTTTTTTTTTTTTTTTTTTGTGGATTTGATTAATAACTTAGCTTATTTGAGGGATCATAATTTTTTTTTTTTTTTGCATGTAATTTAATTTTGTAATACAAAAAGATCTGTTAATTAATTTTTTCAAAGGACTGTCTATCATGCTTTAAACAATATTTACAGTTTTACCTAATTGTTGTTTGAACATTTTACTATTTTGATAAAATAATTAAACTATATAGTGATTCTTTCACCGTTGTACTGTACCTAGAT